TGTCTGTGCATTGTGTGTGTGACATTTGGCGGTGTTAGCTAACACTACAGCTTGCGATGAGATATAACGAGGTTGTGTTTTTGGATATCACTTTTCATAGATCCAAACAGTTTAGTCTTTTCCAGGACACGTTGCCACAGAAACCCAGTTTATAGTACTAGAAATGCAGAAGCTTTACGGCATTATGTTTGTTAAATTAGAAGTTTCATCTGCTCATCGACCTTGACCTCATCCTGTATTGGACCTGGTCACTTTATAACGTCAACTGATATCCTCCTTTCAAAATCAGAGTCAAGTCAAAGTCAACTTTATTGTCAATCTTTCAGTTTGTGTGTACAGACAGATATGTATAATGTATATGTATAATAACAGTCACTTGAATATCTTTGAGAATGTGCATTACTGCTAGACATAGCAGCATAAAAAAAAGGTGTCTGGTGCTGGATTTGTGCGGCTGCCATACTATTTATTTCTGCCATCACAGGGATCTGTCACGGGAACATGTTGTTTTTTTGGAACTTGCTGAAGCGACTGATGCTGCTGTTTTTCTCTCCCCCACACACAAGTCTGTCTCACAGTGTGTTTTCTCTCACTCTGAACTCCAGGTCAGCCACACGTTCTCTGAGTACGGCCCTGGATTGCGTTTCATCACCTTCGAACACGGAGGACAGGACACAAAGTTCTGGGACGGATGGTTCGGAGTCCGAGTCACTGGCAGCTCTGTGACTGTGGAGGTCTGAAGGAGGGGGGGGAAGTGAAAGAGGAGAAGGGAACCAAGTAGTTATAACACTGGAAGGTAACGGAGGACAGGGAACTGGAGTCATATAAGGACTCCAGGGAGGTTTCTAGGTTTCAATAGGACCAGCTTTGCCTTGTGCTAACACCTCGTTCTTAATGCTGTCAAAACAAACTGCTGCTATGAAGACTGCACTAACAAAGGAAAACACCGTCATGGTGGCACAGCAGCTTTACTAACTTTAAGATATTCAAATGACTGCTTGCAACACAGACATTATTATGGTCTGTTAACTACTACCTCTGCACAGTGACTTACTTTAGTGTTAACCTAAACCATGTGTTTGGTGGATAGAGGTGTAAATGATCAAGATATCGATTTCAAATTGGACTCTGAAATAAAATCTTAACTAAATAATTGCCTGTTTTGTCAGTTTGACTGTTAGTTTTAAGATGTTTTCCACTAAGAGTCCCTTTTGTTCGTCCCAATAATGATTGCATTTTGACTGTAGATGTATTGATTGACGTGTGGTCACGGTTTGTCCTCAATTATAATAAAACGGACCTTGGACGTTTCAAAATGTGGGGCTGAGGAAATGAAGACTGCTATTCCTTGTTGTTTCTTTCTTGCAAACAGCAGCAGTAATAGTAGTTTTTGCACTTATTCTAAGATGCTTTGAATAAAAGCGTCAGCTAAATGAAATGTAAAGTAGGGATACGTTCATACTCAAGTACTATCCTTAATACAATTTCTATATACATGTACTTGAGGATCTCCATTTTATTTTGCTAGAGGGAAATCTTGTATGCTCAATTAATGTCCAAGTACCTCAACTTGAACTCAATTATTAAGCTTGAGTGCGTAAAAGGTTGTTTATAACCAGACTGAACTACCTGACTTCCTCTAAAGTAGATAAACTAGCTCCGGTTAGCTCAGCCGCAACATTAAAATATGTGGTGGAGAAATACTTTGACTCTACTTAAGTAATACTGTTGATATACTCCTTAGCAAATAATATTAATGAATTTAACATTTGACTAAGGTATACAAAAGTGTGTTGAACAATGCAGAAATAGAATGAGGGGCTTTTTCAAAATAGCATATGACTACTTGATTTATACCAAGTGTGACCCTAAAATGTAGTTGTGTGTTCTGCGGTATGGATTTTGTGAACCCAAGAAAATGCTCTGATGTATAAAAGATTAGCAAGATTTTCAGTTGAGATAACAGCATGCAGAATTAACTTCCAAACTGCGTTCAAAACTCACACAGCAGAATGTGAGTCAACAGGATTATATTTGCCTGAATAAGTAGAAACTGCATGTGAAGACCAGGGCCCAGTTATACATACATATAGGATATGACATGCAGCCACAAACATTAGCTTCTGTCGTGCTTTAGTATATGGATAATAATATACAGAATAAAATAGAAACACAGGTTTAAAAAAAAAACTTTTATTCTCATTCAATCCAAAGTCAATTGAAGGTGGAAGACATACAGTCTGTAATATACACATTTCAGTCATCAGACATAAATAGCCCAACATGTACAGGCCACTTGGCTCTGCATACAAGGTCATTCACAGAAAGTGATTCAAAGTGAGCACCATTAACACTGGCATAGTAAGGGCACCGTGTATTTTAAAGCTACATTAAACAATGTTTACATTTCCCTAACAACGTCTTGTTCTGCTGTTGGGAGTCCGAAGCACATTGGATGTTTCTCAGGGGAAAACTGTTATTTCAAGAAGCTTATGAAGCATTTCCAAATGAGGATCACCTCTAGTGATTGACGGCTGATACCAAAGCTCGTTTTCAGGTGTGCTTTTCAACTAAAGGATCGCTAACCCGCTTCATAACGTTTGCATCTGGGTAAATTCACTTACAGCTACTCTGTGTTTAATCTGCTCTACTTCAAAATCTCAAAGCATGTAAATCAGAAGTATTGATCAAAAAGGACGCTCAGTAGATACATTTAAGATACGTTGATATTCAAGCAAAGGAAATGTTGTGGACATTTGAGGTTTTTTTTGGACACATTTACCTACAACACCTTCTACAATCGGATCGGTTGATTATACTAATACTCTCTGGCGTATCCAAGTTACAAAATCAAGAATTTGAGTTAGTAGGAGGTCAAAGATTGTCTAATTGAACATTAATGTGTGTGATTGTATGACATTAGTATGGTAGTTTTGCATGGTAACAGCTCCTGGTCCACATGAAGAGTATAAGGCCTCATTCTCCTTGTGTCTGCATCTGTTTACAAAAGGCCTCAAACTGCTGCTGTTCCAACTCCGTCATCACTTTGTTCAGGGCATAAATCTGTAAATAAAGAAGGGAAGACAGTCGACACAGATGATTACACAAGAGCGAGACGTAATGTGACATAAAATACATTTAGCAGAGCACTAGAGGGTCTATGGCAGGTTCATATTGGAGAGTTACCTCTGCTCTCTGCCGCTGTTTGAGCTCTTGCTGAGCAGACTTCTGCTTGGCTCGGTCTCCTCTGGTCGGGGTGGAGTTCAGCTTCTGCTTGTCTTTACGGCAGGCAGGCTCCATGGCAACAGTCTCCAAGCTACCTGTGAAGTTTAAAGGTAAGAAGATGCGTCACATTTCTGACAGAACCTGAGTTAAAATTCTTAAATACAAAGTTTGAGATATTTTTCAGTATCCCTACATAAACAAACAACTTGAATTTGATATAAACGTGCATAATATTGTCAGCAAACAGCAACCTTAAACGTAGCAACGGACGGTATGTTGGTGTAAGTTAACGGTAGTTTGTATATGTTGAATAGAAGAGTGACAGTTGATAATATGTTGTATATCGTGTTCTACACTGTCCATACTCATCCGATAATATTTTATTTTCAAATGCCTGCATAACTTGCAGGACATTTAAGCTAACATGCCATTCATTTAAACATAAACCATTAAATAAACTCACAACAAAGCCAACGTTAGCTGTTTTCCCAGTGAGCTAATGTTAGCTTGATAGCTGTTGTTCACCTTTTTTTATACTAACATTCCAACCAGCTATAAGATATTTATATTCCAGTTACTGTTGCACTTACCTGTAGAGTAACTATATATGTAGAGATATAATGTTGATAAACGTAAGGTTAGCCGGTATGTTGGCTGTAGCTGTTAGCCGATCCAACAGCTGTTCCCTGGGTGTCACCGATAAATAAACCCGAGTTCGAAGCTTTCGTTCGAGTGAAGCTTTCGTTCGAAGGTTCCGGCTGTTTGACAAAAGTTCCGGTTTACGCTGAATTAAAAAAAATGTACTGCTCATTACAACAATCCAGTGCCCTTCTCCTAGGAATAATATACGAATACAATTTAGAAGGGGAAACAAATAAACAAAATGGATTAATAGTGGATCTCACGCTATATGTATTTCCCCCCCTGTGCTAAATTTCATAATTGTAGGAACTCTGATACAGAGATGAATTAAAACCATAGATTAAAACAAATATTATACATGTCTATGTGTTGCGTTATAACGAACATATTGCTTTGGATTTTAACCATTGGATCCAAATGTCCAATTAGCAGTAGTACATTTATATGTTTCCTTTTGTGTTTTACCACTTATCATTTTTGTCCTTTAACGACCACCAATAGCATTAACTGAAAAGAAATACCTGAAAGCCTGCATCTTCTTAAATTAACAATAAAGGCAAGGTAGAAAAAAATCTTTTGGGATTTTTGATAAAATATGAAATTACTCAACCATTTTTGGTTTATCTTAGAAAATGAAGAACTCTAACCACAAGATGTCGCCCTTGTCTTATAGTCTGTTATACTTGCACAAGTTTGCATTAATACAGACGCTTGGGCCATGGTACATGAGTGTTTGTAGATTTAATTTTAGTACTTTTTTCTCTCCTGCCTCTCAATTTGCACAAATATTTGGTAATGATGGAAAGATGATTTTTGAAATAGGCCAACTCCTAATACAAATGAATAATGGTAAAATTGGTCCTGAGAGGCACTTAACAGGCTCTTACACCTGTTCATGAACATTTAGATAATTAAAGTGTTTTAACTGCATCAGCCCTGTTTTCATTTGTGCTCTATACTCATACCATAACACACACACACACACACACACACACACACACACACACCCCTCCCCGTCAATAAAAGACATGCTTCTGGACGGCAGCCGGCTGCTGGAAATAACAAGTGGAAACTGAGAGTAAAGCAGACGTTAAAGTGAAACAGACGTTCAAACTGCCCCGAGGGTCCGACAGTGAACGCAACACCCCGTTACTGTCCAACATGTGTACAGACACACACATGCATTTTTTCTGATGACATAACATCTTGTATATTTTGTGACTCGTACAAAATATTTTAAGATTTTAATTTTCAACTTCGTGTATATTCCCTAAGTGGTTTGCATTTCTTGTAAAAAGCTGACCTTGCTAACGGGACTTTTTAAATGCTAAAAGTGAAATGAGTCGGCATAGTTTTTCTCCGGATGGAAATGTTCTGGTCCGTTGTGGCGCGTTGGCACCTGCTGGCCACCAGGACTGATATGAAGATTGAAAATGATATATTTCTGCTGACGAATGCAAAGAAATATTAGAAAATATAAATTCATGCCATCTTTAATCCTTTGAATTCCCCCGAAGGAGACACAATGAAGACAAAGGGAAAATTGAGAGTCAGACTAATAAAAACAAAACCGCCACAAACAATAAACTCTGACATAATTTCAACCGCAGGACAAATAAAAACACAGCCGCTTCACTTCCTGACTCTAGACTCCAATAAAAGACAGTAGAAACTTTGACTGCACGTCCAGCACAGACACAAACACAGAGACGTGTCTAGCGTGCCTTTGAAATGTGCAAAATGTTCAAAGAGCCCAAGACGTATTTCTGTTTTGAAATAAATATGTTGTTTTCATGCAGTAATTACGGAGGCCATTTGGAGTGAAAATCGCTTTATTTATATATTTGCAAAAGTCTTATTTTCAATGCAAAAATGTTTGATGGAGTAATTCAAAAGTGTGGTAATAGTACCTTTACTGAAGTACGGTGGTGTAGTGGTCGTTCCCCCAATTATTTGGAGCCTCCACTTTTTGAAGCATGATTTTTTTAAGTGGAGATAGATAAAGAGAGAGAGAGAGGGGCATAGAGAGAGAGAGAGAGAGAGAGAGAGAGAGAGAGAGAGAGAGAGAGAGAGAGAGAGAGAGAGAGAGAGAGAGAGAGGAGAGAGAGAGAGGAGAGAGAGAGGAGAGAGAGAGAGGAGAGAGAAGCAGCGCTGTCTGCTTAGTTGCTGTAGCTCAAGCATGTATGCAACTTAGGTTGCATTGTTTATGTACTGTAACTTATGTGCCGGTGTGTCCATGGTTTAGAGTGTGTGTGTGTGTGTGTGTGTGTGTGTGTGTGTGTGTGTGTGTGTGTGTGTGTGTGTGTGTGTGTGTGTGTGTGTGTGTGTGTGTGTGTGTGTGTGTGTGTGTGTGTGTGTGTGTGTGTGTGTGTGTGTGTGTGTGTGTGTGTGTGTGTGTGTGTGTGTGTGTGTGTGTGTGTGTGTGTGTGTACAGTAACTAAAGTAGGACTAAGCATACCGGTACGTTCTGTAGTTCTGTCTGCCCGTTTTGTGAGTGCACTGCACACGTGCGCACTTGTGGCATTGTTTGGGATGACCTCATTAAAAGGTCCCCTCTACACCTCTGATATCTCAACTCTGTAATAACAGTAAATAAACACGTAGTGATAATGAAAGACATGCTTATGTTAGGAGTTACAGAAATAAGGATAATAAAGGATATGTGGATCAAACAAGCAGAAAGCAAATGTGGTGTGGAGCGAGTATTCAGATACGAGTATTTAGATATGAGTATTTAGATACGAGTATCAGATACGAGTATCAGATACGAGTATTCAGATACGAGTATTTAGATACGAG